GTGTGAAAAGCAGTATAGTTGGCAGATGTAGGAGATGCAGTGGAAAATGCAAAGGACCAACAGATGTTGCAAAGGGGTGCAGAGGAAATGAGGTGAAGAATGGTACCATTTAATGAGATACGGCATGCCAGGGAAGAAAGGCTTACGTGAGATGGTGGTGAAGACAATGGCATGTATTGGGATTTTAGGCAGGTGTGTGGTTGGGTTGGAAGCTCAGAGGAAGTTCTGAGTTAGACGGCTTTGGGAGTTGCTGGCATGAATGAGAATCAAAGCCCCGGAGAGATAAGGTTTTCTCTGAGAGTATGCAGAGAGATTATCAATTTTCCCTGTATCAAAGCCTTTGCCCCCATCCTACCTCCCGATCAATGACCATTGCCCCTTCCTCAAAGGGATGATCATGGCTTCTCCCCCTTGCACTGGGCCTGCCGAGAGGGCCGCTCTGCTGTGGTTGAGATGCTGATCATGCGGGGGGCACGAATCAATGTAATGAACCGTGGTGATGACACCCCCTTGCACCTGGCAGCCAGTCATGGACACCGAGATATTGTACAGAAGGTACGTATGAACCCCTCCATCACATACCTGCCTAAAAGTCAGTCACAGACACTCTAACGTGTACTCCTCTCCCTGTTTGCATGTTTCAACACCTGTCTCTCATTTGGGACTGATTTTCCCTTCTGCCTCTGACTGTGGGGACAGCTGCTGCAGTACAAAGCTGACATCAATGCAGTGAATGAGCATGGGAATGTCCCCCTGCACTATGCCTGTTTTTGGGGCCAAGATCAGGTGGCAGAGGTGAGTAGTCTGGTCCTGAGCCCTGGGATGGGTGAGTAGCAGTCAGCCTTAGTGGGAGATTCTGGAACCCTCAAGCAATCCTGAGTACTGCTGAGTGTGTGGCACAGGGTTTGTACTGTTTGTTCATGGCAGTTGTGACTGCCAGGGAGTCCCAGTGGTGACAGCAAGGGCCCTCATCACAACCACTTTCTCATTCCAGGACCTAGTGGCTAATGGGGCCCTTGTTAGCATCTGTAACAAGTACGGAGAGATGCCTGTAGACAAAGCCAAGGCACCCCTGAGAGAGCTTCTCCGAGGTCTGCCCCCAGCCCCCAATTTGTATGCTCGTCTTGTCCCTATCTACCTCATCCCTCCACTATAGCCAAGGCCAAGATTGTCTCTCTTCCTTATCCAGAGCGGGCAGAGAAGATGGGCCAGAATCTTAACCGTATTCCATACAAAGACACATTCTGGAAGGGGACCACCCGCACTCGGCCCCGTGAGTCAGTTGTGAGGGGAGGGTGGTAACAGGAAATAATCCTGGGCTCTTGGAGCTGGGTTAGGGGGAAGCTGGGTACCTGACCTGTCCACACTCTCAGGAAATGGGACTCTGAATAAACACTCCGGTATTGACTTCAACCAGCTCAACCTCCTGGCGAAGCTCAACGAGAATCACTCTGGAGAGGTGACCCCTGCCCTTCTTGCCCCTCCCTTCCCGACCCCTCATAAATTACCTGCTGTATTTTAAGTCTCTTCTTCAGTTAGTGGGCAACAATGTGGTGGCCTCAGTTAAAGCATCCTCTTACCTGTTGCTTAGCTATGGAAGGGCCGCTGGCAGGGCAATGACATCGTTGTGAAGGTGCTGAAGGTTCGAGACTGGAGTACGAGAAAGAGCAGGGACTTCAATGAGGAGTGTCCCCGGCTCAGGTGGGGCAGTCTAACCTGGAAGCAGCTGGTTCCAAGGAACCCTGAAGGGCACCCCAGGGAGGTCTTTTATGTGGGTCTCAGCCAGGGATGCTCTCATTCTCTCCCAGGATTTTCTCGCATCCGAATGTGCTCCCAGTGCTAGGTGCCTGTCAGTCTCCACCTGCTCCTCACCCCACCCTCATCACACACTGGATGCCATATGGATCCCTGTATAATGTACTACACGAAGGCACCAGTGAGTAGAGGATGCCAAATCTCACTGGAGGCGGGAGAGGGTGCACAAGCCTCTTTAAACTATTTGAATCTTGCCTCTTCTAGATTTTGTCGTGGACCAAAGCCAGGCTGTGAAATTTGCACTGGACATGGCAAGGGGCATGGCCTTCCTACACACCCTAGAACCCCTCATCCCACGACATGCACTCAATAGCCGTAGCGTAATGGTGAGGTCTCAATTTCAGTTCTGGCCCAGGACCCCAGAAGGTCTTTCCCAACTATAATAGGATTTACCTCCTTCCACACATCTATTTTCTCCTCCTCAGATTGATGAGGACATGACTGCCCGAATCAGCATGGCTGATGTCAAGTTCTCTTTCCAATGCCCTGGGCGCATGTATGCCCCTGCCTGGGTGGCCCCTGAAGGTGAGTGACGGCATCATGTTAGGAAGTAGAGAAGGGCCAGCTCAGTAGTAATAGAAGGGGACAGAGGACAGGACACTGAACAGATAAGTCCTGTCCCTCCAGCTCTGCAGAAGAAGCCTGAAGACACAAACAGACGCTCAGCAGACATGTGGAGTTTTGCAGTGCTTCTGTGGGAACTAGTGACACGGGAGGTACCCTTTGCTGACCTCTCCAACATGGAGATTGGAATGAAGGTGAGAACACAACTGTATACACTTGTGTTGGGGGATGGTTGGCATGAGGCTGGGCTCTTCCCACGTATAGTAATCCTCTCCTGTGGGCTATTGGCCTCTCTCCCCATGACAATTAAGTTCTGAGACCCACCTTGTTCTTCCCTGTATTTGCAGGTGGCCCTGGAAGGCCTTCGGCCTACTATCCCACCAGGCATTTCCCCCCATGTGTGTAAGCTCATGAAGATCTGCATGAATGAAGACCCTGCTAAGCGCCCTAAGTTTGACATGATTGTACCTATCCTGGAGAAGATGCAGGACAAGTAGGGCTGAGAAGTCCTGGTCTGAACTCTAGAGATGTCAAGACACGGTTAGGGGAGTGTGCCTCCCCAAAGCAGCAGGCCTCTGGTGTTGTCTCCCCTGCCTCCAATCATGGTACTACCCCAGCCATGGGGCCCATTCCCTGCCCCAATCCCTACCACTGTGGCCCCAAAAGGGGCTAGGCTCAGAGCTTTGTCACTTGCCATATGGTGTCTCCCAGCATGGGAGGGACCAGCCCTGCCTGTCACAATAAAGTTTATTATGAAAACAGGCTGGTGTGGGGACAAGGAGACAAGTACATTTAGGTTGGTTGGCTTAGGTGAAGTAGTGCGGCTTCTTCACATTGATGCCATACTCGCTGAGGGCAGGGGTCAAGTCCTCCATGGTTAGAGTATACTTGCGGTCCTGGGGGAAGAGGGAAGAGCACCAGCTGAGTGAGCAGAGGAATCCCAGGTTTCAATCCCAGGTGGGTGACCCTGAGTAGGTCTTTCACCTCCCCTAGGGCTTAGTTTCTCCAAAGGGGCTTCAAGGTAAATTAAGCCTCTGCTGCTGTAGGAGATAATTACTGATTCATTGGGCTTCCCCTCACACCTTGCTCTTGCTTCGGGAGCTGCCAGAGGCTGTACCCTTCATTTTGCAGTGCTGTAGGGCATCGTTGGCAATATCTGAGATGAACTTCTGGGCAGCTAGGGAGATGAGCCGAATTCTAGAGAGAAAAACTGGTATAAGGAGATGGACAACAAATTCCACACAAACACTCAAGACTCTAATCTGCTGTTTACTCACATGCGTGGGTCAGAGGCCTCAAAGCCAGCACGGTTCAGGTAGTAACCAGTCACTGCATCTGGGATCTGAGAAATCAATTAGAGGACTGTCAGTGTTGGCGGCGTGTACCACTAACAGTGAGTATGTTAGGGGAGAAAAACGGAGGGCAGGCCTGGCTGTAAGGAAGCTCGGTTTGGGCAAGCAGAGAGGTAAATCACAAGGACTAATAGGGAAGCAAATACAAGGCGCTGGAAATCCAGGCGGTGGGGCCTAAAGGTGGTGTGACGGCACGCCAATAGCCTTGTTCAGGCAGGCTGCGCACCGTAGGCGTATAATCCTCCAGCTGCATCAGAAAGTCCACCAGAGGTGTGCTGGAGACCACCGGCTTCACATCTCCGTTGGCCGCGCTCGGCAGCACGTAAACCCCGTTAGACATGGCTCCCTCCGGGGGCGCCGCGCCGCCCGCCGACACCGGAGCTGCAGGAAAATTGGCAGACAGACGGGGAGGTCGGAGGCGCAGAGCCCCAGCTAGATCTGCTTTAGATCCCCTGCTCTCACCCGGCACTGGGCCCGGCCCAAGCTGCTGCCCTCAGCTGGCCCGGCCCTCACCTGCCCCGCGCCGCTCAGGTTCCCCGGCCCGCGCCGCCACGGGTCCTGTGCCCCCTGCCGCGGCTCCAGTCCCAGGCCCCCCTGTTGTCCCTGCGGGGCTGGCCTTGTTCTCCGCAGCGGTGCCGGCGGGCAGCGCGGTAGGAGCCGACACCGCGGGCGCCGGGCCCGGGGCCGAGGTGGCGGAGCCCGGCGCCGCCTCGGGGTCCGCGCCGGAGCCGCTGCAGCTCATCCGGCCGGTGGGAGAGTCGGCGAACAGAGCCGCTTCCGCTTCCGCTCGCGTTACGCACACGCCAGGTTTGCGTCATACGCCTCGCGACTCGCCCTTCCCATGCTCCGTTCCGTTTTCCGTAGGTCTCCCGCCTCCTCGTTCCCTGTGGACCGGATAGATGACAATGACCGAAGGGTGGAGACCTGGACTTGGAGAACAGCGCCGGCTGCGGACGTTCCACCCCTTCGGTGTTGGGGACTCTCTTCTGCGGCTCGGGGAGCCCTTCATTCAGCCTGACGCCTAAAGACCTTGCTTTGGGACTCATTGGCCCGACATCCCTCGACCACAGATTGTCTGCCAGAATGCATCCTTTCTAGTTCCCTTATTCAGCCTTTTAAGGGTTTGTAATGTAATTGCAAAGCCCCATCTCGCCCAGCTGCCCAGGCAAATCAGGGCAGCAGGAGAGCGCACACGGTGCTTCTGTAACTAAGGACAGAGGTATTACAGCCTGAATAAAGAACATATGCAAAATCACAGCAAGTGAAAGCTTGGGATTTCAATGTAGCAATCATTTATTTAATTCCTGTTTGCCAATCTTGAACTAGGGCCTGGGAATACACAGTCAAGTAGGGCAAGATTCTAGTCCTCCAGGCACCAATGATCTTGGAAAAGGAGGCAAACAGGTAAACTGGCAATTTCAATACTATGTGGGAGTTAAAGTACTAGAGATAGACACTAGTGTGCAGTGCAAGGAAGGGAACAGTTGCTGCCTACTTTGTGTCAACACGCCATCAACTTTTTTCCATTTAACTATTCCCTGCTTATTGCGAGAGACAGGTATTAATACCCCCCTTAAATGAAAAAACTAAGGCAGATGAACTTTCTTGCCTAAGGTTCTCTCCTAGTATGTATCAGAATAAAAAATCAAACAGGGTTGGTTTCAAAATCTAGGATTTTTCTGCCATACCAAAATCAGTTTGCTTCAGGGAGCCAAAAAGACTTCCCAGCTGAGTATTGAAAGAATCCTTGAAATCAACCAGCAAATGCAAGTCAGGGGTCATGTTAAGGGCACAGAATATCTTGAACAAAAGTGGAATTGTGTTGAGGGAAACTTTGGGAGTATAAATTCCTTAATCAGGAACAAATAGCAGAGAACGGATCATATTTGTGAGTCATGATAAAAAGCCTGAACTTCAATCTCTGAAGAGTCTTAAGTAAATGAGTAGATGGGATTTGCATTTCACTCAGGAAGATGGTTTAGAGAAGCGCAGGAAGTAAGGACACTTGTCAAGGGCCTCCTACAATTCAGAGGAAAGGGAATATGGCTCTAAGCTAATGTCGTAGCATTAGAGATGGAGAGAAGCACATGAGTTCTAGACATACTCAGGAAATATAATTGTCAGGACTTGTGGACCAACAAAGATATATTTAAGATGTTAAGTCAGTAGGACTTGTTGATTGAAGGTGGTGCTGGAGATAGGTGAAGATGTGTGTGTAGGATAACATTTAGTTTTCTGGCTTGGTTAGAAGAGTATGGTATCATTTACCAAGAAGAAACAAAAGAACAGTCTGCAATTGGGAAGGAAGATAATGAACTATCAAGTAACATACATCTTGCATGTGAGGTATCAATCATTACTGGACAGAAAATCTGATTTAGTGAGACAGTAATGGTTGTGGATGCCAGTGACTGATTTGTTCCAGTGGACAATGAGTAAAGTGAAAAGAACAAAAGACTAAGGATGGAGCAATGGAGCACACCCACACTCAATGAGGAAGCAGAGAAAGAGAATGAGGAAGAAGGAATGGTCAGAGAAGTTAAGCTCTGGGAACTAGGAAGGAGTGGGTGGGCAACTATGATGGAGGGCTCATAAAGCAAGGATTGGGAAGTATGCACTGGCTGAAATAACAGGGAGGCCACTGTTTCTCAGGATCAGGGGAGGAAAGAGTCAAAAAGTAAGAGCAGAGATCTAATTGCAATGAACTGAAGAGTGAATATGAAATGGAAAAGCCTAGTTGAAAAGAGAGAGAATGAGAGGGAGGCGTGTGTGGGGAGGGGGCAGGGTGGAGGCTCCCAAACAGTACTGGTTATAGCATCTGTAGAGGATCCTGAGGCAGGAGTAGAGAGCCCTGAGAATGATGGAGCAGGGTAGGGCTAGGAGTCAAGTCAAGCTCAAAGCATTTCAGGATTAGGGAGATAAGCTCTCTGCGGTAGCCAATAATTGAAGGTCCAGTAGGTCTTTCATCAGTGCAGAAAAAGGGACCAAGCCACCAACTCCTGGCAGGAAAGGGTCAGGGGTTAATCAGTGTCTTCAGCAGAGCTGGGAAGTTGGGTGTCCCCCAGCCTGTCACAGGATCCCAGCCAGGGCCAGAGCAGAAACCCTGACCCTGCACCTCTTCATTCAGACAGGATGCATGGCAGCCACGGGTTACCTATGGAGAAGCAGGGCATCAGATCTGGGCCTACTGGTACCAGCACTAACAGATCACACCCTGTTATCCTGTGTTCACATCCCAGAGGCTATCCCATCAAATCAGAACTGCCCACAGGTTCATCTTAGCACTCCCAATACTCACGAAAATGTCCACATTCTCCCCTTCCACACTCACATCAAAGAGTCCTGCCCCATGCTGCTGGTAGAGTCTTGGGTTGAGAAAGCCAAGAGGGCGGTGGCCGCTGAGTAGTCTGTGTTCATTTATCAAGGATATGAGCCCCCCAAACACTGGAGTAGAGGCCTGCAAGGATGAGGGTGCAAGTAGAGGTTAGGGGTCCAGAGTGATGGGACTTTGGGGGAGGGATATATGGAAGGATCAGAGGTTTCTGAGAAGTCAGGGGTTTTGGGTACAAGGCCTTGAGGGTAAAGGGTAAGGGTAGTTCCTGAGTGGGGGCTTGGAGCCAGGCTGATTCTCACCGAGGTACCAGACACCCATGGAATGGGCATGCTGTTGCTGACAACCCAGTAGCCATCAGAGAGTGCAGCCACATCTGGATAGGCACGACCACTGGCATTGAAGTAACTGGATGGTGGTAAGTGGGGGCTGGAGCTCAGGAACTGGGCTACAGCTTCCTCCTGAAAGGCATTTTGGAGTTAGAATTGTCTACTGGACACCCCACCCCAACCCCAAACCACCCATTCATTCTCACAAACATACACGTACTTGGTATGAAGGCCGCGGGAACACATTGCTGAAGCCACCACCACTGATATAGTCAACGATCTCATCTGTGACTCGGAAAGGATTCTGGAAGGCTGTGCCTCCCACAGTGGTAACGTAGGGGCTGAAGGGAGAAGACAGCACTGAGACTGTAGGGTCCCAGGGGGGCCTCCAAAATGTGTGGGGATGGGTGAGTATGGCCTGGGTCTTGCCAGAGGGGCTAGACTCTGTGGGGAAGGATGTACATGGGGATGACTAAGAGGTTTTGAGCCCTCAAGCCATGACTGAGATGACTGTGCACACTCTTCTCTACAGAACATTCATTAAATTTTCCATTAAAATGCCTGGGGACTGAGAAGAAGGAATCCTGGGAGCTATGTCCTATTCAGGAGATGTGGGGCCTGGCCCTAAGGAAGAGGAGGAGAATGCTGCAACCAGAACAAGTAAAGCTGAGGGCTGAGCCACAAGAGCACCTGGTGCGGTCAAGGCAGAGGTTCCAGATCATGAGACCACAGATGAAAGGCTGGTCATGGGTATGTAGTGAGCTTACCTGGAGGCAGGGAAGCTGGGACGGAACTTATGTCTTCCAGAGACAGACCTGCACCCAGCCCCACTGTCACCTGGGAGATAGACAAGTTTAGCACTCAGATTAATTGGTCAGAGCTTGGTATTTGGTTCAGATGTCAGAGAGGAAATTCAAGTGTTAGGCATTACTGCAAGAGGTCATAGGTCAGGTCAGCAGTCCCTGTTGAGTTCAGATTATGAATCGAAGATAAGATTCAGGATCACTATGGGTCAAAACTCCCAGGTTGGGTGAGGTGGGGGGGTCTAAGTTTAGAACAGGAGGCCACCTGAGGCAAAGAGCAGGGTAAGACCCCGAGCAGCAGCCTTCATGAGCTCAGTATTGACCCGCTGGATGTAGACACTGCTGAGGGAATCCTCATCATCTCCGTAGCTCACAGTATGCACATGTGGCAGGGCTGACTCATTACTGAGCAGCAGAAGCCATTGCAGGAAGGGCTCCTGTGACTCATGCCGGCCTGGAGTTTTGGGGTGATAAGGTGAACAAGGGTAGTTATTTGGGAGGCTGTCAAGATCTCCTTCTAGCTCACGGGATTCCCTTGTGGGAGCAGGGGTCAACACTCACCCTCATCCCTCTTCCCACCAACCAGTCCCCTTGGCAGTACCAGGGCTACTGTAGACCCAGGTGGAGATGTTGGCACCAGCGCTCATCAGGTACTCCACATCTAGACTCGCCTCGATCCCAGCCCGGCCCCGGCCCTGTTGTCCCACCACATGGGCTACTGATGCCTGGTGTGCAAATTTCCCACCAAAGAGGCGCATGAACTCAGCCAGGTCTGAGTCATGGAAATACTGCTCCAGGAACTATGGAGGAAGTCAGAGAAGATATCATGATTTAGAGGATGCACCCCCAAAGGTAAGGGCAGAGGATACTGTTGCAGATCACAGGATAAGTAGTGAAAGCTCAGCAGTTAAGTCAGAGAGCAGGCCCCAGGCTGGGCAGGCACCTTGGGGAGGCTGCGAGGACCCTGGGGCTCTCTGCGTGACTCACCTGGGCACAGGCTTGACTGTTGTTGGTTGTGCCAGAGCCCACATCTTGTGCTGTCAAGTTGTATCGCTCCCGGATCACGGATGGGGTCACCCCCAGGTGCAGGCCAACAGTTCCTGCCACCTGTGGCTCTGGGCGTTGCCTTAGGGATGATGTGGGGGGAAAGCGGTGCAGCCCCCCCACTGTGGGGAGGGGTCAGGCTTGAGTACAGGTCTTTTACACTTCACCCTCATTTTACCACTGATCCCACCCCAAGCCCCCCACAGCATCTAACTTCTCCAACTCCCAGTCTGCCTGCTCCAATAACCAGCAACCCTACTGGATATTACCAAAGTCCACGTGGGGGGCCAAGACCCTTGGGAGCCGGTAGGAATGTGGGGATCTTATAACATGGATCTCTGAAGGTCCCCCTACATAGCGATGAAACTCAGACCCAGGTAGCAGCAGTTCTGCCTGGCTGGAAATCAAAGATCAGAGAACAGAGGTGAGAGCACAAACCAGAGCAGAGGAGACTGCCTGAGCATCCTTGGGCAGGTAGTTGTTGTCTCCCCATGTGTTAGCTTTCACCCACAAGCCCCCAGCAAACTGTTGGCTCTCCCCCATTGGGGTGACTAGTCACCCTGATGGATGATTGCTACCCCCATGGGGCAATCATTCCCTCTCACCGGACACTCAGCCAGCAAGTCAGAAAGTCCTGTGTGGTCACTGTGTGGCAGTTCCGGACTCCAGCTGCCAAGAGCCATTTCTGGACCGTGAGGAGGGTCAGTGGTGATGGCTGGACCAGCTCAGCCACATCCTCTAGGGTCAGGTATTTTCCTGCAGGGATTCAGTAGAGGCTCTTGCCTCTATTCATTGCTTTTTCCAAGTCGCCCTTTTGGGGCCTCAAAAAGAGATATTGGTACTTTCCAGGCAACCTGGAGCAGGGGCTTGAGGGATGAGTGGGAATTTTTTAGCAAAATGGGGTATATGCAGGTACAGGATATATTTGGGGCCACAGGAAGAAAAGGCTGGGGGGACCTGGAATGTCATGGCCAGCAATATGCATCTATCCTAAAGGTCAGTAGGTTATTTATCCTGAAGGTCAGCACATCCTGTACCAAAGCATACAATGCCATGATCGTGGAAAGCAAATGAGTAATACATTAAAATTTAAGTTTATATCCAATAAAAGTTTTCAAAACATTCAGAGCCAGTTAAATTAGATAACATTTAATTTAATTGGAACCTTCATACTTGATTTTATGCTTACCATGATGGTGAGTCACTGTTTTCCTGCAGGGAGCATGCACACACCTCCTGGGTTTGTCTAAGATGCTCCTTCCCATCCACCCTACCCATGTGGGGCTTCAAGCAGGGCAAGGATACAATTCAGCTTGACCACTGGAGCAAAACATTGACTGTTTGGGAGCAGAGTGGGGAGTGGGTAGAGGTGAAGAGATTGCAGACCAGTCAGTGGGGCCAGGAAGTGGTTTGAGTGAAAGAATAAACAACTGGGTTGGTAGCAGCCAGAGATGGTGAGATGTGGACAACATCAAAGGCTCTTTCAGAGTTGGAACTGGCAGCCCTAGTGTCTGAATGGAGGAAATGGGAGTGGATTTAAGGGAGGGGATTTGAGCTGATGAGCACCTATCTGTACCAGATGCTAGTTCCCCATTTGTCTTGGTAGCTGTAGCAGTAGAATCAGAATTTGAATCCAAATTGATCACAAAACCTATGCTCTTAATCTTATCTACTTTCAGGTTTATAGCCTGATGAAGACAGGTGAAAAGTATTGGGGGAAAGAATGTGAGTTAGTTTTGGACTGTTTGGTTCCAGGTCACTTTTTCATTCAAGAAGTTCAGTGAGAGTCACTGCCATTCATCTGCCCTATATCACCCCCTAGACAGGTACCAAGTGCTTGACCCTGTTGTGATCTGTACCATCCCAGGCTCAGCTCGGCCCTGTGTCCCTCCACTGCATCCCACATCCTACCCCTGAGTCCCCACAGGCACCGTATCGAGGAGAACTGGGATCCGACACAGCCTGCACCAGCTCCAGCAGTCTTTCCAGGTTCTGCTGCCTCAAGGCAAAGGTCAGACTCAGTTCTTCCTCAGAGTCCACACGACCCAAGGACACCCAGCCTGGGGGAAGCCTGCAGGGTCGGGGGTCAGGAACATGGGCTTCGTTAGAGAGGGGATGGGAAATATTAGGCTCAGGATTAGGGAGACTGAGACTTCGGGTAGTATCCCAGAAGCAGATGTGGCTCACAGGAGGTGGATGGGTGATTGGGAACTGAACCTGAACACGTGGGGATGAGAATATGGAGTGGGTACGAAGGGCTGGTAAGGCGTGAGGGAGGCTAGGACTAGGACAATGGGTGCAGGACAGGATACGGAGAAAGAGGGTAGGCAGTGCTAAGTCTACTCACGTCGTCCGCTGATCAGGCTCCGGGCTGTAACTGCATTTGCCGGTGACGAAGAGGGCAAGGAGCCCTAGGAGGCTGCAGGGGCAGCAGGTGGGTTTCAGTGGGAGTTGAACTGTTGTTGTGTTCCCAGCCCTTCAACACGTACTCCCTCCAACGTGATCCCTTTCTTCCATGGCCCCCTAATTTCTCACCAGCCTCGGAGCTCCATTCCGCCTTTTTGCAGATTCGCTGTCATGTGACAGATCACATGAGCCTTTTATTCCATACCCCCCCTCCCCTGCCCGTGAATTAGTGCCGTACTGGCTCCTCCCTTGAAGGGGTGGTCCTGAATGCTGGGGACTGGTTGGGCTGCCACTCACCACAGGGTGTGGGTGTATAGGCACTTCTTGAGAAAGGGCCTCTGGAGGTCCACAGACCTACAGATCCGGTTCTTTCTAAATGTATCATATCAGGAAACTTACCTAACTCTTGGAGCCTAGGTTTCTTCATTTAGAATATGTAGAGTATTATATTAAAAGTACTCAGCCTCATATGGTTACACTGAAAACTTAAGAGATAATATGGGCAGATTGCTCAGCACAGAGCCTGACATGGCAAAGGCTCAACAAATGTGAGCTTTTATTACATGTGTGTGTATATATATATATATATATATACACCCCAAAACCAAATAAAACCATTTGGCTGCTCCTGTATCCATCTCCACCTCCTTGAAGACCCTTAGGCCCAGAGCTGGTCATCCCTAAGATCTCTCCCCACTCAGCCAATCCTTTTCTAGGCCACTGCTGCAAGCAAGCCCTTGCTGTCTGCTCTCTCCCTGGTCTCTAGCCCATGTTAGAGGGAAAGGTGATCTGCAGAGATGTGGTATCAGCCTCAGGCCAGGCCTGGGCTCCCAGTACCATCCCCACCCTAGACACACCAAAGTCCCCCATCCTCTGTGCCTCCTGAGGTTGCCGCCTCAGGTGACTTCCAATCATCTCCTCACTCCTGTGGCCCCCACAGAACAGAGCCAGACACTGGATACAAACTGCAGTTTATTAAGGCTCCAGAGTGAGAATTGGCACTTGGTTCTGGGCAGGGGCAGGGGTGTCAATGGAACCCAAAGGAACAGGGCCCAAACAGGTTGGAGGGACCTCCCCCATTCCCCCTACCCCCCAATAAATAAAGTCTCAGCTCCATCAGGGTGCTGGTGCAGGGCAGGAAGCCCTCACTGAAGAGAGCCCAGGGCTGCTGCCTCCTTGGTATTTCACCCCACATTGGACCTGGCTGCAGGGTGGTGCCCAGTAGGGCCTCTGTGGTGCTGGTGCTCTGACAGAGAAGGGGGAGTTGTGGGACCTGCCCCCACTGGAGAAGTTTGGGATGGGGAGCTGGCCTCCCCTATGGCCAATCATGGTCTGAGGCTGCCCAGGGCAGGCTCAGAGGGGGCCTGCATTGGGGACACTGTGCGCATCCCAGGTCAGGGCCCTGCCTGGGCCACAGCTAGATGTGCAGCTCTGCGTCATCAGGTGGCTCCAGGCCAGACTCTGTGCTGAGTGTTGAGGCGGAGGGGCCCTGGGCCACCCCAAATGGCGAGACAACAGGTGAGCGAGCAGCCAGAGGAGACAGTGAGGGTGAGAAGCTGGGGGACATGGCAGCTGAGGACAGGGAACCTTCATGGCTGATGGGGGAGCGGTGAGAGGCTGGTGGGAAGATGGCTCGGGTTGCAGCTGTGCTGGCTGGCTTGGGGGGCACCGATTTGGCTCCTGGGTGGGCCACGGCAGTGATGAGGGGTGGTGGGTCAATACGGGGAGCTGGGGGACATGGCCGAGCTTCATCCTTGAGCCGGGCGATCTCTGTGAAGACACTGGCCAGTGGCTGGAACTGAGGGCACCAGCTCAGCAGGTAGTCCCAGTTATAGCTGCCACGGAGCTCCTCTTCGCCAGCCACAATGGCCGTCAGAGCACCTGCCACACATGGCTTGCCATCTGCTGGGAAGCCATAGTCTCCAGTGGGTGCGGGGCTCAGGCCACAGCCCCCCAGGAAGGCCGTGGCAGTGGTTGGGGGGCCCTCTTCTCGATACAGAGTGGCTCCTGCACCCGGTAGCAGCAGCCCTGCCTTGCGGCCCTTATACCAGGTGTCAGGGGCAGGTGGCTCGCAGGATGTGTCACTCAGTCCATCTGCATCCTGCTGGATGCCTGAGTCAGGACCACGGGCAGCCAGGGAGGAAGCCACACTGGCCACACGGGGGAACTCATTGATCATGCGGATCTCATCATCCTCTGCAGCTTCTGCTGATCCCCGGCCGCTTGAGTGTGAAGGGTCCAGGGAGCCACCACGGGGGTAGGGTCCTCCAGCTCCTGGTCCACCATAGCTGGGGAGAGTCTGGTGATACAGGTGCTCTGAGGGTGGTGGGCTGGGTGGCTCTCGGCCCAGCTTCTGCAGGGAGCCACTGGCCAGAGGTGCTGTCTGTGACATTGGGCCAGGTGCTGCCTCAGCCTTACGGCTCCGGGCCCGCACCAACCCGAGGACCAGGGCTGCTAGTGCAAGCACCACCACAACTCCCAGGGAGGCAGCCACAGCCCCCACCAATAGCAAGTTGAGGTCAGGTGCCAGGCCCAGTGCAGTGTGGGTGATATCCACAGTCACAGGCACTGTGGCACTTCGGGAACCAGGCAGAGGCCCCCGTGCCACCACCTCCAGCCTCAGCTCCCGTGGTGCCTCACGTCGGGTACGGCCCCCACCCCCAGAGGTGCCTGTTCCACTACCTGGGGCCCGGCTGTCCACCCGCAGGTACAGGGCACCTGTAGTCTGGTTGATACCAAAATAGGGAGAAGAGGTGGCAAGGGAATAGAGTACCAGGCCATCGGCACCACCATCCTCATCTGTGGCCTGCACGTGACCCAGGCTGTGGCCACGCCGGGCACCTTCTGGCACTTGGAAGTGGAAAGCTGGTGCCAGGAACACTGGGTCATATTCATCCTCGCCAGTCACCAGCACTGACACAGTGACAGAGGCAGACAGATTCCCAGCATCTGCAGCACCCACCAGCAGCTGGAAGCTTCCTGCGTGTTCATAGTCAAAGGCCATCCGAGCCCGCAACTCTCCTGTGGAGCTGTTCAGTGCAAATGCCTCACGGCCCTCAGGCCCTGGACCAGCCTCCAACAGGCTGTAGTGGAGCCTCCCGAAAGCCCCAGCATCCCCATCAATTGCATGCAGAGTGGTCACAAGAGTGCCTGGAGGCTGGTTCTCTGCCAGACTGGTGCTGAGCACGCTCAGGGGGAAGGCTGGGCCATGATCATTCACATCTTGGACCTCTATGGTCACTGGTGCCAGAGCAAAGTGTGCCCCGGTCGGGTCCGCAGCCTGCACTACAAGCTGATGTCGAGCCTGGGTCTCACAGTCCAATGGGTGGGCCAGTCGCAAGGCTCCTGAGCTCTCATCTAGCTCAAAGAGCCCTAAAGGGTCGCCCGAGCGGAGGGTGAAATGAACAAGACCATGAGGGCCCGGGTCAGCGTCAGAGGCCTCCATGTGCAGCAGCTCAGCTCCAATAGGTGTGTCCTCAGGGACTGCCATGCGGTAGGATGCTTGGGTGAAGACAGGTGGGTTATCATTGACATCCAGCACAGTGATGGTGACTGGCACAGCTGAGCTGCGAGGTGGCTGGCCCCGGTCAGCTGCAGCCACAGTTAGATTATACTGGGTTAGGCTTTCAAAGTCTAGAGGCTCAAGCAACACCAGGCAGCCAAGTGCCCGGGGTCCTAGTCCACCACCTTCCCCAGCCTCCGCCAGCCGGGGTTCCAGCTGGAAGACTCGGCCCCTGTTGCCACTAATGATACTGTAGTCCACGGTGGCATGGGCGCGGCTTCCGTCAGCATCTGTGGCCTCCAGGGTGAGAAGGGTGGAGCCAGGGGGCAGATCCTCAGTCACAGCCACATGGTAGTGTGGCAACGTGAAGCTTGGGGCGTGGTCATTCTGGTCCTGTAGCTGCACGTGCACCGTAGCTTGTGCTGCCCGGCCTGGCATCCCATGATCTCGTGCTTCTAGCACCACATCCACCACTTCTGGCCCGTCATGGCCCACGGTCATTGTTCCCACTGTTGTGAACAAAGTCCCTGAAAGGAGAAGAGAATGGAGAGAAACATGCATTCAGCAGAGGCTATGGGTGAGCAGAGGAGTGATCCTTCAGTGCCTAGGAAATGGCTCTCATCATCAGAGTCCTGTGTGCTAGGACATTATGGAATAGCCTGCAGGATTCAGGGAGCAGCTTCCAGACATGCAGTCAGGACAGGGCTTAAAATGGAGACAAAGGGGGAAAAATGTCCTTCCTGGATCAGAGATCCAGGAGTTTTAGAGTTCAGGCAAGAAATTCTAGGAATGAGGTTAAAGTATGGCCCAATATAGTCAAAGATAAGGGGTCAGATCCTGGGAAGGACATACCATTGTTGGGGTCAACACTGAAGCCCTCAGCAGGAGAAGTCAGGTGGTAGGAGATGTGACCATTAGCACCTGAGTCCTGGTCAGTGGCAGAGACGGAGAGAATGGCCCTGCCTGGGGGCGTGTGCTCAAGCAGCATCACCTGAGGTGTGAGGACAAGTGTTTATGGCAGAGCTTCCCAGCTGCCCTGCTGTACATTCAGGCTATGTTCTGGAACTTGGCCCCATGGGATCTGCTTGGCATCCATTACAGCTTGCAGCCCATACTACTTAGTATTTGAATTGCCTGTTTTCCCCTATTTCCAGGCGCAGGATGAAGAACCCGGACACAGTTCCCAAGAATTAGAGGGTTGGTTTGAGATGGGACCCTCCCATCCCCAGAGCTCCATACACAGGTCAGTTCTAACATCCAGCCCACCCCAGACACTTCTAGCCTCACTACTTTCCTCCAGTGTGAACAACCCAGGCCCAAATGTGGGGACATAGGGGCACTGGTACCTGGTAGAGGCTTTGTGAGAAGGCAGGTGCATTGTCATTGACATCCTCCACAAGCACTGTGAGGTTGGCACGGCCCTCATGAGGCCCGTCATGTGCCAGGAGCTGCAGGTGGTAGCAGTCATGCTGCTCAAAGTCCAGACGACCCGTGAGAGAGAGGCGGCCTCCATAGCGGCCTATGCTGAAGGGATCCTGGGGCCCAGATGGGCTCAGCACATACCACAACACCGGTCCTGAATCCACGTCATTCCCTGTTACCTGTGCAATCTCTGAGCCCAATAGTGCATCTGCAATACATAGGACAAGTGTGTTTGGCATGGTCTCAAATGCCCCTGGAGACCCAGAGAAGGGAATAGTGCAACTATACCAC